GGAGCGGAGAGTTGTCAGAGGGGCCGCTGGGCTTGCTGGCGAGTGGATGAGGAAGGCACGGCTCCGACATGGAGCACGGCGAAGGCGGTCCGGGGAGGCAGGGGCGGTTCCGGGAGGGCATGGGACGCCGGCGGCGGAGGGGAAGGGCCGTCCTTGAGGCAAAGTTTTTTTCTTTTAATTTTTTGACAATGGGTGCTTTCATTTTTGAAAAAGGGAGGGAGTTTTCTGTAAAATATACTTGTAACAACGTGGCAAAATTTCGTGTTTTGACCCTTTTGGGAAATCAAATCGAGATCTGACCCAGTCTGAAAACATTTCAGGATTTGACCCTTTTGCCTACCGCCAAGAGGCCCGGCGGTAGGATCGTATAGCCTACCGCCGAGCACTGCGGCGGTAGCAAACTTTTCCACGTCAGCACCGATAACTGCCGCCGTTCCCCCTCCGTCACACCCTACCGCCGCCCCGCCCGGCGGTAGGTTGTCTGAACCTACCGCCAGAGTCTCCGGCGGTAGGGTGTGGACATATATAAACCGCGGGCCGGCCGCCCCCACCCCTTTCTCCCCCACCCAGCCGCCCCCACCACGAAGAACAGAGCAAAACTGCTCAAAGTCGCCCTCTCTCATCCCCTCCACTCCCCCTCCGATCTTCCTCGTTTCTTGACGGATTTTGTGGATCGAGATGGCCCCGAAGAAAGAAAAGTAAGCTCTTTCAATCCCTCCAACAAGTTTTAAACAAACACCTTCCGATTCGTCGCATTATTCGTTTGAAATCACTCCTATTAGAATTTTTTTAACCCTAGGATTGATTTAGGTTGATTCTAGATGTTATATTGTGTTAGATTTGAACTATATGATGGATGATGCATGTTCCTATGCTATGGTTGTGTTAACATGAACCCTAGTTCATAATTGATTTGAATGGTTATTTTATATGATGGATGATGCATGTTCCTATGCTAAGATGCAAGTATTGGATGATGCAAATATCTGATATATTTGTTATATGTAGTATATGAATCCTCAAGATGAACCCTAGTTCATTTTTTTAACATGGTGATTGCAAGTATTTGTTATATGTAATATATGAATCCTCAAGATGAACCCAAGTTTATTTTTTTAACATGGTGATTGCAAGTATTTGTTATATGCAAGTATTTTACTTAGTTATTGATATATGTATTGTATTTAGTTCATAATAATCTTGATATATGATTATTCAAAGATTGTGTAAAGTATTTAGGTTTAGTTTTTGTTATGCATCGATGTGTTTCGTAGTTAATGTTGAACTCTAGTTCATGTTGAAAAATCTTTTGACGTGCTTATGCAATTCTTTTAGGAGGCCACCTCTTGCGGACGACATCGGCACAAAGTACACAATGCTTGACCCTAGGTTCGACAAGCATCACCGTGCCCATTTCATTGAGAATGGAGTGGTAATTAGCATTTTAAACCAAATCTTTCGAATTGATGAAAACAAGTTGCTAACTATTATGTCCATGCTAATTATGCTTTGGTTATTGATTTTCACAGATGCTGCCGCCACTGCGGATGAGGGCACACAAGACGACGGTTAAGATGGAGTACGACGATCGGTATGCACCGTTCTTCAGGAGAGCCCGACTATTGGGTTTCGTCCTGCAGTTCAAGCGTAAGCCGCCGACGCTCGTTCACTCAGCTCTCACGGCTTTGATCGACCCGTGGCGGCCAAAGACGCACATCTTTCATCTTTCATGCGGGGAGATGACCGTGACCCTCAAGGATTGGGCGATGATTACGGCACTACCGCTGGAGGGTCGTCCTCTCACAGGAAGAGTGGAGAGGGCGAACTGGCCCGAGAGGGTTGTCAGCCTCATCGGCGACTGCCCCGCCGCTAAGAGCAACCGGACTTCCGGCATACCGCTGTCATGGCTCCTCGAGCACCGGAGGAAGTGCCCGGAAGATGCCGAGCCCCAGGTGGTGGAGCAGTACGCCAGGGCCTACCTGTGGTACATTCTCACGGAGGTAGTGTTTCTGGACTGCTCCGGGAACTCTGCCCTATGGATGTATCTCGACTTCCTGAAGGACTGGGATGCGGGGTACAGCTGGGGGGCGCCGGACTTGCCTACCTATACCGTTCGGTAAGTGAATATCACTTTCTTTCAAATATCAGACGTGTGTTGATTTATATTTTGACATCTTATCATCTATACTTGGTTGGTAGCTTGACGAGGCGACCCAGAGAGCGGAAATCTCGTCCGGTATGTGTGGATGTGTGTGGGGCCTCTCCATTTGGATGTGGGAGCGAATCACGGTGGGCCGTCCGGAGAAGATGCGCGGCGGTAGCACCCTACCGCCCAGGCCCTTGGCGGTAGCACCCTACCGCCCAGGCCCTTGGCGGTAGGCCATGCAACCCTACCGCTACGTTGCTCGATTTTTTGGTCACAGAAGATTGGCGTGGGGGGGAGGCATCCTACCGCCGGGCCGGATGGTGGTAGGTCGTGGCCGGCTACTGCCGAATACTATGGCGGTAAGGTTCGGGCATTTATAAAGCCAGCCGCCCGCGCCCACCCCACCACAAACCCTAATCCCCACCCACCCAGCCGCCTTCTTCTTCCTCTCGCCCATTTTCTCATCTCCTCCACTTCCCCACTCTGATCTTCTTCGTTGATTCACGGATTTTGCGTATCGAGATGGCTATGGAAAGAGGAAGGTAAGCTCCTCCAATCCCCCAATTACTTTGAGTCAATCATTCCGCTTTCTTATAGCCATATGAGGAACCCTATCTAGTTGTTATGATGAACCCTAAACCTAGATGATTGCAATGTGATAAACCTAGTTGATGAACCCTAGGTTTAGTCTTTCTTATAGCAATACGAGGAACCCTATCTAGTTGATATGATGAACCCTAGAACCTAGATGAATCCTAGAACCCTAGAACCTAGATGAACCCTAGAACCTAGATGAACCCTAGAGCCTAGATGAATCCTAGAACCTAGATGAACCCTAGAACCTAGATGAACCCTAGGTTTAGTCTTTATTATAGCCACCACCATCACCATATGTGATGACTTATTGTGTGAATATTGTAGATATTTGTTTTGCTTACATTAGAACAAATATTCATGTTTAATTAACTTTATCCAATCAATGCTTATATAAGGAACATGGCGCCACCACCACCACTTGATGAGGACTATGAAGATGAAGACCCACTTGAGGAAGCCATCTGTGCTCAAAGAGTGAGGCTGGGCGAACAGGAGGTGTGCAACCTATAGGACAACTTTCTGCCACGTGCTGAATTGATCGGGGCGCCATTCGTGACCCGTCTGACAACTACCATGGTCGATCGACATGAGATGGTATGTTTTTAGTGTAGAATCCAAGTAATTGTTAATAGTTTAGATAATCCATACTTATTAATTGATATGTTTTTCTTATTCAGAAATTGCCAAAGAGCCTATCTGAGAGTTGTGGCATCGAGGCTGATGAAGAAGGCTATGCTGGAATACGCCTTACCGCAACGGGCCCCGTCACTACTTGTGCGTACGGCGTGGACACGGACGGCCGCACAAATTTAAGCACACATGGGTGGAAGAGCTTCCTTGTTGACAAGAATCTTCATGTTGGACAGGTCATCCTTATTACTATCAGGAAGACCATCCGTCAAGGCTTGAAGATGATGATCGTCATCGATATCATCTAAACTATATATGTGTGTGGCTGCTAATGATCGTCATGTTTGATTTCTACCTATGGATGAAACCTTTTATGTGGTCGATGACCCTTGAACTCGTTAAACTTCTTATGTTGCCTTCGTACTATGTTATGTGATCAAACTATGTTATTTGGTACTTGTTTCTTAGTCTGTAATGGCAAAATTTTGTGGATGTGATCAAACTATGTTATGCCTATAAAATTGTGCTTATGTTATGTTACTTATGTCTATGTTATGTTTCTTCTATTATGTCTTATGGCGAAAAAAAATTGAAGACAAAAACAAAGTAGTTAAGTTTAGTGCCAACCTACCGCCAGGGAACTCGGCGGTAGGTTTGTGCGGGCTACCGCCGTGGTCTTTGGCGGTAGGTACGTCACCAGCCGTTAACGGATTGACGGCCGTCAGGCACACCTACCGTCGGAACCTGTGGCGGTAGGCTGTGCAACCCTACCGCCTGAGGTTCTGGCGGTAGCAAAAGGGTCAGATTTCAAAATGTTTTCAGACTGGGGTCAGATCTCGATTTTGTTTCACAAAAGGGACAAAACACGAAGTTTTGCCTAACAACGTCTAGCATGAACAATTGCGCCATGTCATGATTTGCGGGGCCCACCTGCCACAGTCGTCATCAAAACGACCAAAGCCGTAGTGTTTTTTTAAAAGATTAGCCTTGGAATTAGTGATTTTGGGTACAAAACTGTAGACTTGTGGTTTCCGCAACCCTAGCCTTTAATATCGATGTTTTGTGCAATTCACTCCCTGTCAGTTGCCCACGAAGAAACAAGTAAATGCTTTGTATTCATGTTTGATTTAGTTATGTCCCTGGTTTTTGCTTCGTATTCGGGTACCCGATTCCAATCCTAATAAGAATACTAGTTCCAGATCTGTGGAGCTGTGATCCGGATGATCTTCTGCTGACTGCGGCTGCGAATCGGATAGATACTCTTTTGATTTTCAGTTTTCTTATTAAGTGTATCGCATTTAGGACTTGGACTCCGACAAAGACAAGGAGTCGAGCAGACTTCCGATGGGATTCGAATCGAATCGCTCGCGCTCGCCCCTGTATAAATATGCGTCGAGAGGCGCCTGGTTTCTCACCCGAACAATTTCTCGCAGTGCAGATCCCAATGGCAAGTTCATCTTCAAGTTCCGTCGAGGAGAAGGAGGTGTTGGATTTGCAGGATCAGAAAATCAAGGTGGGTGGTGACAAGCCGTCGATCGAGTCGGCAGGCAGCCCTGCAGATCCAGCACCAAAGAAGAAGAAAAAGAAGATCCTGCGTGTGGTGCCTGAGAGCGACGTGAAATATGTCATGAGTTACAAGCCGTTGCCCCGAAGGACGGAGTGGCCAGACAGCGTTATCAAGAAGTGCCCAGAGCTTGCCGCATGCTATTATGCCACCAGGGCCAATACGGATGAGGTCGTGGAGGACATGCAACGGAGGATGCTCGAGACACAGAAAGACTACAGGCAACAGCTGAAAACCAAGGGCATAGTCACCTACGAGGAGGAGGTTGATGAGGACTACGACGAAGACGAAGACTATGCTCCACTGCATCCACCGGGTCGGAGGAGGCACCGACCTGGCGTCATGAAAAATTGCCAAGGAGAGACTAGGAGGCTGAATTAAATAAAAAATCAAGCAACTCTATCTAGCTATATCATCATGCTTCCAGCTCTTCGGGTTTTTTTTTTCTTAATTACTTTGTTTGTGAACCTGGTTCAGTTATGTCTTCCGTATGATCATCTAAGCGCCATGAAGGATTTGGTTTTGTCTTGTTTTCTTACTGGGTTATGAGTCCCATGCCAATTGTGCTTTATACAAATAAGGAATATTTGTTTCTTGCGGTTTTGTTCATTTACTGTATTCTCTGATTGTTAGAGCCTGACAACACCGGAATTGCAAATTCAATATGTGAGTATTTCTAAAGAACATCAATATGTGACACCTTGGAAGCCACAGGATAATTGTGTGCTATGCAAATCATATAACAAAGTTGGCATTGTTTCTTGTGTTTTTGTTCATTTATTTTCTATATACCGCCCCTTTATGTCTCCTTTGCATCCACCCTGGCGTCATGAAAAATCACCAAGGAGAGACGAGGAATTTTAGTTAAATTAGATCCAAACAAATCTATCTAGTTTTCTTTTTTGTTTGAGAAATCTATCTAGCTATATTGATATAAAGTCGTGGTTCTTTCAGATCATCAGTTGTGTCTTTCCTATGAACATATAAGGCGCCTTGCCTGTTTCGACTGGACTTATGTCCCATGCTAATTGTTCTATGAAAATACCAAGAATTATATGTTCCTTGTGGATTATGGTTTTGTTCACTTTATTCTTTGATTGTCATGTGTCATAAGTAAGCCCAGTAATACTAGAACTAGAACATCATTATGTGATCTCTGAAAATCCCAAGATCCCAGTTTTCTATCCAAAGCAAATACCAGGAAGATATTTTCTTTCTTTCTTGTGGTTTCATTCAGTTATCTATAGTGCTATTAGACTTGTGGGAGTTGTAAGCACCATAGCAAGAACAAGATTGCAAAATCATTGTGAATATCAGTTTAAATGAAAATCACCTATGGATTTAGTGTATTCCTGCTCATATGTTTACCCACATGTTGATTTTGAACTCTCTTTCAGCCCTCTTATTTCTGTGATTAGAAACTAGCAGTTTCTTACTTATGACCTTTCAGAACAGAGAGAGCCATGTCATCTGCATCAGAGCAGGATAACCAAAAGACTCTGCAATCCTTATTCCAGTACATGTCAGACTGAAATTTGTAAACAGAAAACTGAAACCAAATAAAAATTCAGAGAAGGCATTGCATCCTACGTGTTGATGTCTAGCAGCTACGAAGACACCACAGTCCAGTGACTTTGTAGGCACCATCTTTGAATTATTGATGCATCGTGTCCTCAGTCCGCACATCGTAATGGCAATGGCACGCGAACAATAGATTCTTTGGACTGTTCGGAGTTACCTCCACCAGACCATTTGACCTCAAAAAAGGAACCAGTACATTTATCAAGAATATTTACCATATATGGTACGCTTTTACCTTACATCATAGAAGTTGTATTGGTTATATACCACTTAAACCATCTAGTTGAAATATTTGGCAACAACAGCACAGCTCTGCAAGAGCAAGTTTCAAAACATAATCTTTCTTGAAAATACAATGAAAAACATTATTATCACTTGTAAACTAAGAACATCCGGAGTCTTTGAAATCTGAAGCACACTATCTTCTCTTCAATTTCTAATACGTTGTTCAGCAGATAGGTAGTGGCTCACCATTCCACTCCTTGAGGCATTCGAGCAGCGCGTCTATGTGCTTGCCCTGGTTCATGGCGATGAACACCTTGTCCACCTCTTCTCCAGGAGATCGTGTCTTCTCCCCAGTTAAGTACTCAGTCCCAAGCTCCTTGCGGACGAACCGGTAGAGCGGGTATGACCGGCACTCGGTGATACGGTTCTGCTGCGCAGCGGTGCCATTCTCCACAGCACTCCGGGCAGCCTCGACCTCCTTCGGCAGCACAACACGCAGCTCCTGCTCAAACATGGCAAGCTTAGCAAAAACCGACGTCTCCACATCGTGCTCGGCATCACCATTGGCCAGGGCGTGCTCCACAAGAACAGCTCGCATCTTCTGCATCAATGGGTAGTTGGCGCTGCAAGGGTCGTCTGCGTATGTGAATACTGCCTCGCGGTCGATTGTGAGTAGCAGGTCCTTCTCGCAGAAGCGTGCGTTGTGGAGATGGCCATTGTTGTTGGTGCTTAGTGTCTTCTTGGCCACCGTCTTCACACAGCTCTTGACCGCATCCTTGACATTTTCCTCGAGGTGGCGGAGGTCAATGGCCTGGCACAACGCGACCAAGAATGTCGAGGACATGAGCTTTAGTATGTCAATGGATTCAGCGGTCTTCCTAGCAGATATGAGACCGAGAGAGTTGACATCTTGGTTGTGTTGCTCCGCGCTCTGGACATGGTTGGTCACCGGGTTGCCTAGGAATTGGAGCTCAGAGCAGTACGAGGCCATGGCAATCTCAGCACCCTTGAGGCCATAGTCCAAGCTTGGGTTGCGGCCGCCAGAGAGGTTTGAAGGTAGACCGTTATTGTAGAAGTCGTTCACCAGCTCTGAGAACTGCGCAAACATGAGCTTGCCAATCGCGGCAATGGCAAGCCTTGTGTTGTCCATGGACACGCCGATGGGCGTGCCTTGAAAGTTTCCGCCATGGATGGCCTTGCCACGGGAGACGTCGATGAGTGGGTTGTCGTTGACGGAGTTGATCTCCCGCTCAATCGACTTCGTGGCAGCACGGATGACCTCAATTTGGGGGCCAAGCCACTGCGGCGATGTGCGAAGCGCGTACCTGTCTTGCTTTGGCTTCATCAACGGGTCGAGCTCGCCGAGCTTCTTCGCGAGTGCCATGTAGGAGCTTCCTTCAAGGATGTGCTCCATGATGGCGGCAGCCTCAATCTGCCCAGGGTGGTGCTTCAACTTGTGGGTCAAGTGATCGGTGTACTCCGGCTTGCCGTTCATGACCTCGCAGAAAACTGCCGACAGAACCTCAGCAAGGACGCCGAGGATGTTAGCCTCGAAAAGAACCATGGACGCGAGCCCTGAGCCAACAGCCGTGCCGTTCACCATGGCAAGCCCTTCCTTGGGCTGCAGCTCGAAGAAGCCATGCTGGATGCCAACGATCTTGAACGCCTCGGCTGCGTTAACCTTGCTGCCGTCTGGAGCCGTGGCCACGGAGTTTGCCCGGCCGGTCACCAGGCCCGCAATATAGGAAAGCGGGACGAGGTCACCAGACGCGGTAATCGTGCCTCGGAGCGGCAGGCATGGTGTCACGTCGGCGTTGAGAAGTTTGGCGATCGTCTCGAGTATCTCGAAGCGGATGCCGGAGTACCCCTGGAGCAGGGTGTTGACGCGGACTAGCATCGCAGCCCTTGTCGTCGCGGCGGGGAGGACATGGTCGTGGCCACCAGTGCCGAGGGCTCCGGCATTAAGAAATCTGACGAACAGACAACAAATACATACACGAAACAAATAAGACTTCCATAACCCAGAGACGCACGTATGATAGACTAATTTGTTGTTGGTTCACTTCAATAAATTCGTACCTGATGAGCTCCCGCTGGAGAGCGCCCCCCTCCTTGGTCCTCCGGTGAGAAGTAGCGCCGAAGCCGGTGGTGACGCCGTAGCTGTCGGTTCCGTTGGCCATGCTGTTCATGACCCAGTCACTGCTCTCCTTGACGCGGCCACGGGCAGACTCTTCGAGCTCCACCCTGGTGTCGCAGCCGGCGGCCACCGCGGCGACCATGGCGATGGTCAGGCTGGCGCCCTCCATGGTCACCACCGGCCTACGGTACTCCTCGACCATGCGCTTCACCGCGTCAAGATGGCTCCCGGACAGCTCCTCTGCCGCCTTCCCCCAGTTCAAGGGGTCGGCCCGCGCCGGCTGCGCCACGCACAAGCCATCGCCGTTGGCGGCGACGTGCGCTCTGTTCTCGCACTCCATCGTGATGTGCAAAGAAGTAGGAAAACAAGTAAGCTAGAAACTGGGCAGGTCTTGTGCTGGATGAATTCTGGTAGGCAGACGTGCGCTGGAGAGAGCTCACGATGCAGATGAAGGTGAGGGAGGCTCTTCTTTGAGAGGAATGGAGGGAGAGGAGGGGTTAAGTAGGCAGGGTGGGTGCGGGTGTGGGTTGGTGTGGCTTTGACCGCTTGATGGTTGGTGCCGGGAAGAAGAGACGCCGAGTTCTCACATGCAAGTGTTTAGTGTTAATCGTGTCATCCACCATGTGCTTGTGTGTTCCTCTGCTAATCATGTGCTTGAGTAGTTGAGTTATGAAAGTGCAAATCTACTAATGTAAACATGTGTCGTATTGTCGATAACTGGAACGTTTCAAACAAGCGTGGTGGCTGCTTCCACAATGCATAAACTACTACTATAGGAAATCTTAAAAAACGCGACGGTCTTTGCTTTGACAAAGCATGTGGGCCCGTGACTCCATAGCGAGTGGGGTTCTGCATGCTCGGCACAACGGGAGTTGTTAGGCGTCTCTACATGTAAACCTCCGTACGGACCATAAAAATCATCCAACATCGATTTATATCGGTATGTGACACGGTCAGAACACGATTTTTTCCGCAAAATAAAGACAAAAATAAGGAAGGTTTGCAGGAGTCCAGACACGCGAAACGTACAAATTTCACACCCCAGACCCACCCAAAACCCTCCGGACCACGCGACTCCATCCTTCTCATTTTCTCTCCTTCCTTCTTTCTCTCTTGCTGTCGCCGCCGCTCCACCACCCTGGCCACCACGCCACACCCTTGCCAGAAATCTACGTCTCCGTCACCTCCGGCGACCTAGCAGGGCTCCCCGCATCTTCTCCTCTGTCTCCGTTCAACCCCCTGTCCTCTGACAGCCCGGCCAGGTACCATCCTCTACCATGCCTGGCAACTGGTCGATGAATCGCCGGAGCTGAAAACAGTTGTCCCTTATTGTTTTTAGCAATGGATTCCGATTTAGAGTACATATACGAGCAGTATGTTGAGTCCTCCAACAGCTCGTCAGACGAGGAGGAGTACTTTGACAAGACAGCGGTGATGCAGGCGGTCCTTGAAGACGCGGAGCATGCGGAGGAGCATGTTGTCAATTTCAAGGGCTCGATCAAAGGTCATGGAGTGCTCAACCGCAACAGGGCGCGCATGCGTTTGACACTGATGGCCGACTACTTTGCCTTCGATGCACTATTCGTTGACCATTTTTGTCGGTGTTTTCTGATGCGCAAGACTGTCTTCGATCGTTTGTACCATGGCGTCCGGTCCTACGATGACTACTTCATCCTGAAAAAGGACGTTGTGGGAACGATTGGCTTCTCTGGTTACTAGAAGTGCACTGCCGCACTCCATACTTGCATATGGCACGGCCGCTGATTCGTGGAACGAGTACCTACGGATGTCTGAGAGCACATACGGAGATGTCATGGCCAGGTTTGCAACTACCATGGTTGAGGTGCTCGGACCTCTGTACCTGAGAGAACCAACTGTGGCAGACACGGAGAGGCTCCTGGCAATCTCAGAAGCGAGAGGGTGGTCAGGTTTGCTTGGATCTCTTGACTGCATACATTGGAAATGAAAGAACTGCTCGAAGGCTTTACAAGGGCAATATCAGGATCATGTTAAGAAGCACACCATTATTTTTGAAGCAATTGCATCACATGATCTTTGGATTTGGCACGCTTTTTTTGGCATGTCCGGGCCTCACAATGACATCAATGTGCTGCCACGATTGCTATTGTTTGCGAGGCTGATTGAAGGAAAAGCTCCTCCTTGCCACTATACTATCAATGAACATGAGTACAACATGGTCTACTATCTGGTTGACGATATCTATCCTCTATGGGCTACCTTTTGTCAGCACCATCTCAAACCCAACTTGCCAGAAAAAGGCTCACTTTGCCCAAAGACAAGAAGCAGTTAGAAAGGATTATGAGAGGGCATTTGGAGTTCATCAGCCCCGTTTTGCAGTTGTTCGTGAACGTGCAAAACAGTGGGATCCACAGACCTTGTGGGAGGTGATGACATATGGTGTGATCATGCACAACATGATCATCGAGGATGAGGGTGACGATGCTGCCGCAGCTCCGGAATTTTAGAACATGGGTGATCCTATCCAACTTGCGGACCAGAATTCAGCCACATTTGAGTAGTTTATTCAAATGCATCGATAAATTCAGCATCGACCAACTCATGAACAGCTCAAGGAAATGTGATTGAGTAATGTGGGCGGTGAAAGGGGACAACAATGTTGGGATGTAAATACTAGAATTTTTTTAAATTTAAACTAGCTGAATGCAGCTATTTGAACTTCTGAGCCCTTTGCATGCAGCTACTTCATCATGCGGACTGGGAAAAAAACCAAAAGGCCAGATGTATGCCGTTACGCTTGGATGTCGTCCTTCTGCATCCGTGTTCGTGGACTGACCTCCTCCTGTCCGTGGACGGATGCGGAAAGTTTTTGCGGGTTGCACTTGAAGATGCCCCTATCTGCTAATGATTGACGGACAATACTTTCACGTTCACTAGTATTTTGTGTGGTGCGACCAACGCCACGTATTCTATTTAAACTTAATCTTGCACACGACGAGGGATATTCCGGTTTGCACGTGGTCTGGTCATAGCGGGCTGCATGCATGCCTCCGCTTGAAAGATACATTCACACTTTTGTAGTGCGCACTTGACTTGGCAGGCATGACTGCCCTCAGTGGAGACGATTTCTTGGTCAGTCATCCGCGTGCACATCGTGAACGCGACCACAAGCATGCGACAGAAAATTTCAGGCCAACACTAGTTTAAATAACCAAACCATTTTTGCTACCTTTCCAACAGAAAATTTGGAAGCAAACATTTGACTTGGAGGATATCATGTTTTTGCATATGTGGAATATACATGGTCACAATATACTACCATAATTTTCTAGGAAGCAAATAATATGACTTAGATGGTGCTCCTTCACAATGCTGCAAAACAGAGGTATTTTCTTACAAAGATTAAGAAATAAAAAAATTGATCAAGGGATGCTTGGGCTTGACATATATCGTAGATTATAGTTTGGAAAATATTTTACTAGTTAAGCTTATGCTCATTTGGAAATTGAAAAATTGGCTAACCATTTGTTGAATTAAATTCAGAGAGAGATCCAAAGAAAAAAAAGAAAAGGCAAATCAAAATCCAGAAGAAAAAAAAAGAAACAGAGTCGAATTTGTGAAACGTGGTCTTTGAGAGCTGAAATACTTATTGAATGGCATTCACCACCAACTATCAGCTCGGCGCCGCCACAACCAACCGCGAGACCACCCCGGGCCACCACCGCGAGTTATGTCATGGACCACCACCGTCAAAGTGTTGCCGTCGCCCGGAGGAGCCCGCGCAACGCCACCATGTCGGACCACACTACCACGTCAAATCCGAGAGGGATCCACGCACCGGCCACACGCCCGACGCACCTCGAGCAGCCGCCAAGCCACCGGCAACACCGCGCCGTATCATCCCATGCCCAGATTGACGGCAAAATAAAATCGATGCTCCGAAAATACTACTTTCGAAAGTAATTTGGAGCACTGATTTGTTTTAGACGCCTTCCACCAATGTGATCTAATGATGAAAATTCGCAAACACTTAGAACATTTGTCAAAGTTTACCATAGAAAATATTCAAAATTTTTGATTTTTTTTAATTTACTGTTCACACGAGCTCATTTGAGCTTCAGCTCAGAATGGTACTTTCGGCCATAGACCAATTACTTAGCTTTGGTTTGCCACTTCAACTGTTGAACTCGTCCTGCAAATGCTTCTTCACGCGTCTCACCAACCCACCAAGGGAATCCGTATGGTTGGTAAAATTCTCAGCACACACTCATGCCTCTATATCTCTGACCAATTTTAGAAGTTCCTGTAAAGAAATCGACCACTAATAATAGCCCGAGTTGTTGGCAATCATGGACAAAGTTAAGTATCAACCTGCTCACAAAACAAGTCAAATGTCAGACCATGCACCCCCGTTTGCTGCGCTCAATGTTTCCGATAGACAGAACCATAACTTAATCAAAAACCTGACATGTATGTATGACTGTATGTATGCGATGCCAATGAAGCAATTTCCAGAAAATCATTTCCATGCTACATTTTGGGTTAAAAATATCGCCTTTTATCAAAGAAAAAAGGGAAGTCATTTCCACCAAGCCACTATGCTTGCGACTGCGCTCACGATGGCGATGTTGAAGCGGATGTTGAGGATGGCAGCCATTTTTCTGGGGAATCTTGTCCACTAGAGGCAAGGTTGCCTCTATACACTGGAGATGCTCTGAGGAGAGTCAAGTGTGCACCAAGAAGTGAGACCGGTGACACCAAGAAACAAGTAAATGCTGATTTCCTTTTCTTTGGATGAAGCTTCCAACAGATCACTGAGGGAACAAAATGAGTACACGACTGACTGACCATCTAGCCGGACTGAGGTCTGAGGCTGGATCGTCTCATTTTAAGACAACTGTTCGTGAAATACGAGGGTAGTCGTCGCACCCACACAAAAATACTACTGTAGTGAAAGCTTAGGGACAACTGGCAGATAGTAACAGCTCCCGTTGGCAGAACCCTAGCTTAAGTTTAAACAGAACCCCACACAATAATGCAGATGCATGCATGCATGCATGATTACCGATTAACAACAGTACACACAGTTGGTAATGTCTCTTTCCCCGCACCAACCATCTTCTTCCCTGGAATAAGTCCAGTCAAACCCACCCTCCAAGTCCACACCAACCCACCACCCACACCCACCCTACCCAGCTGCTGCTGCCTACTTAACGCCTCCTCCCCCTCCATTCATCTCCAAGAAGAGCCGCCCTCACCTTCATCTCCAATTTGAGCTCTCTTCAGCGCAAGTCCATCTACACCTGCCCGGTCTCCAGCTTACTCGTTTTAGAGCTTACTTGCATATCTCGATGGAGTTCGAGAACGCCAATGGCTTGTGCGTCGCTCAGCCGGCGCGGGCCGACCCGCTGAACTGGGGGAAGGCGGCGGAGGAGCTGTCGGGGAGCCATTTGGACGGGGTGAAGCGGATGGTGGAGGAGTACCGTAGGCCGGTGGTGACCATGGAGGGCGCCAGCCTGACCATTGCCATGGTTGCCGCTGTGGCCGCCGGCAGCGACACCAGGGTGGAGCTCGATGAGTCCGCCCGTGGCCGTGTCAAGGAGAGCAGTGACTGGGTCATGAACAGCATGGCCAACGGCACAGACAGCTACGGTGTCACCACTGGCTTCGGCGCCACCTCTCACAGGAGGACCAAGGAGGGTGGAGCTCTCCAGCGTGAGCTCATCAGGTACGTACCAATTGAATTAAACGACCAATATATTAGTAGGAGTAGTAGTTTATTTCACTTGTTGATCATCTGTACCTCTGAGTTCTGGAAACCTTATTATTTTCTTGCACTTCTTGTCTGTTCAGATTTCTTAATGCCGGAGCCTTCGGCACCGGTGGCCACGACCACGTTCTGCCCGCCGCAGCGACGAGGGCAGCGATGCTTGTCCGTGTCAACACTCTGCTCCAGGGGTACTCAGGCATCCGCTTTGAGATCCTTGAAACGGTCGCTGCGCTTCTCAACGCCAACGTGACACCATGCCTGCCCCTCCGGGGCACGATCACCGCCTCCGGCGACCTCGTCCCGCTTTCCTATATCGCAGGCCTGGTGACCGGTCGGGCAAACTCGGTGGCCACTGCTCCGGACGGCAGCAAGGTCAACGCAGCGGAGGCGTTCAAGATCGCCGGCATCCAGCATGGCTTCTTTGAGCTGCAGCCCAAGGAAGGGCTTGCCATGGTGAACGGCACGGCAGTGGGCTCCGGGCTTGCGTCCATGGTGCTTTTTGAGGCTAACATCCTCAGCCTCCTTGCCGAGGTTCTATCTGCTGTGTTCTGCGAGGTCATGAACGGCAAGCCGGAGTACACCGACCACTTGACCCACAAACTGAAGCACCACCCTGGGCAGATCGAGGCCGCCGCCATCATGGAGCACATCCTTGAAGGAAGCTCCTACATGGCACTCGCAAAGAAGCTCGGCGAGCTTGACCCGTTGATGAAGCCAAAGCAAGATAGGTATGCACTCCGAACATCGCCGCAATGGCTTGGCCCCCAGATAGAGGTGATACGCGCTGCCACCAAGTCAATCGAGCGGGAGATCAACTCCGTCAACGACAACCCACTCATCGACGTCTCCCGCGGCAAGGCCATCCACGGCGGGAACTTCCAGGGCACACCAATCGGCGTGTCCATGGACAACACAAGGCTCGCCATTGCTGCGATTGGCAAGCTCATGTTTGCGCAGTTCTCAGAGCTGGTAAATGACTTCTACAACAACGGTCTGCCTTCCAACCTCTCTGGCGGGCGCAACCCGAGTTTGGACTATGGGTTCAAGGGTGCTGAGATTGCCATGGCCTCATACTGCTCCGAGCTCCAGTTCTTAGGCAACCCGGTGACCAACCATGTCCAGAGCGCTGAGCAACACAACCAAGATGTCAACTCTCTTGGTCTCATCTCCTCCAGGAAGACCGCCGAGGCCATTGACATACTCAAGCTCATGTCCTCTACATTCATGGTCGCCTTGTGCCAGGCCATCGACCTCCGTCATCTCGAGGAGAATATCAAGGATGCCGTCAAGAGCTGTGTGAAGATGGCAGCCAGGAAGACACTCAGCACCAACCACAATGGACATCTCCACAACGCACGCTTCTGCGAGAAGGACTTACTGCTCACGATCGACCGTGAGGCGGTGTTCGCGTACGCAGATGACCCTTGCAGCTCCAACTACCCACTGATGCAAAAGATGCGTGCAGTTCTCGTCGAGCACGCCTTGGCCAACGGTGAGGCCGAGCGCGATGTGGAGACGTCGGTGTTTGCTAAGCTTGCCGCGTTCGAGCAGGAGCTCCGTGCACTTCTACCAAGGGAGGTCGAGGCTGCACGGACCTCAGTGGAGAACGGCACCGCCGCGCAACAGAACCGTATCTCCGAATGCCGGTCGTACCCACTCTACCGGTTTGTGCGCAAGGAGCTTGGGACTGAGTACTTGACTGGAGAGAAGACGCGGTCTCCTGGGGAAGAGGTGGACAAGGTGTTCGTCGCCATGAACCAGGGCAAGCACATCGACGCGCTGCTTGAGTGCCTCAAAGAGTGGAACGGTGAGCCCTTGCCTATCTGCTGAACAGAGGATCAACAAACTGAAGAGAAGACAGTGTGCTTCAGATTTCAGAAGGCTATGGATCTTCTTAGCTGAAGTGATAGTATTTTTTTCAATTGTTTGGTAAATTGGAACATTCTTGCAGAGCTGCCATGTTCTTGCCAAAAACTGCAACTGCATGACTTGTACAACTTATATGATGTAAGCTAAAAGAGTACAGTGTATGATAAAAAAAATTGTGATACTTATAGCGGTCCTTTTTTTAGATCAATCGTCTGGTGCAGACAACACCGAACATCTACCGCCATAAGGTGTGAGGAAGGAGGACATGATGCCTACAAATTAAGTCACTGTTCTGTGGTCTTTCTGTAGTTGCTATTTATATCAAAATGATGCGATGCCTTCTATGAATTTTTATTCTATTTCAGTTTTCTGTTGACCGATTCTAGTCTGACATGTAATGGAAGCAGGATTGTAAAATGTGTTGGTTTGGTTTTACTCCTCTAATGCAGATGACTTGTCTCTCTCTGTCCCTGAATGGTTATAAGTCTAAACGGATATAGCCTGGCGCCTTTTTCTCTTTACGTTTTGTAAACCTTGTAAGAAAATGAAATTCCATTATAGGAGATCTTTCACAGTATCCTTAAATGAAATTGGCCAAAGTACTTAAATCCAAATAATCTATTCCATTTATGCTAATTAGAAAAATAATGCAATCCCTGTTTTGATGTTTTCTCAAGATTATCACATACTCCATGCATAGATAAACTATTTCTAACAACATGTTTATAATCAGATGAAACTGGAAGGAACTGAAAATGCTATCCTATATATGTTCCCCGAATGCACCACTTTTGCTTCAGGGAGTTGTACGTGTGAACAAGAATCAATGATGGGTATCGCATGGTCAATGTTGCTTTTCACATGGGAGTATTAAAATAAGATATTTGTAGTTCTTACCTGAAATTGCTGAGAGAGGGCTCGAAAACTTCCCATGATATTTCCCAAGTCTCTGGATGTCTCCTTTGGATTTTCTCTACATTCTGATGAGCCAAAGGTTCCATGAACATCTCATCATAGGTGGACTTGTACCGAAAAAGGCTTTCGCCCCGCTTTATAAATAAAGCAAACCGCCAAAGAGCACACATACATAGTCAAGTCCACACACACACCCGGGCCTCACGACAGAGTACATAGGTTCTGCTGAGGGCACAACTCAACAAGCCCAGAAAAAAAACAGAACACGCCGGACGAAGACAACGCCTAGTCTGGTTCCGGAGGAGGCGGCGGGGGCGGCGGCGACAGGCGGACGGCCATCGAGCGGAGGTCGGCGATGAAGGCTGAGATGGCGTCGCGATCCAGGGGGCGGCTAAGCGGCCGCCAAAGCTGCAAGAAACCCGAGAGTTTGAAAAGAGCGTCAGTAGCCCGTCGAAGAGGAGTGCGCTGAATCACAAGCTTATTGCGGACAGTCCAGAGGGTCCAGGCGAGAACCCCAATCTCAAGCCACCTAATGTGGCGAGAAGTCACGGGGGACATCTGGAGTTCGGCAAATAGGTTCGGGAAGTTGGTGTGGCACCAATTTCCACCGACCGCTTTGTGAAAGCAGCTCCAAATGAATTGGACGGAAACGCAGGAGAAGAAAATGTGGTTCGAGTCTTCGGGGACCCCATAGAGCGGGCAGATGCCAGTGCCCGGGCCATTTCGCTTGCGCACCTCCACCCCGGACGGGACCCGACCGTGAATCCATTGCCACATGAAGATACGGATCTTCAGGGGCAAGCGGATGGACCACACCATCGATAGGGGGAGGGGGCGGAAGATGGGGCGATGGCCAGGTATAGTGACTTGGTGGAGAATTGACCCGAAGGTTCAAGGCGCCAGCGCACCAGGTCCGGGCCACCATCCACCATTGGCTCGTGGAGAGCAACACAGTCATGCAACTCACGCCAGGCGGCGGATTCCAAGGGACGAAAAGGCCGGCGGAAGGCAAGGCACCCTAAGTCAAGAAGGGCCCTATCAAAAGAAATCTCAGGATCGACGGAGATAGAGAAGAGGCAGGGAAAGCGAGCCGCAAAGGGAGTGTCCCCAGCCCAGCAATCAAACCAGAAGAGCGTCGATACTCCGGATCCCACCGAAATGAAGGTCCTGATGTGGAGGACTGGGAGAAGCTGGACAATCGACTGCCAGAACTGAGACCTGCTAGACTTCTGGCAGAAGGCGAGGGGCTGGCCGCGCAAGTATTTGTTCCGGATTACGTCAAGCCAGAGGCCACCGTGACCCTGCCAGATGCGCCAGAACCAACGGGAGAGAAGGGCGATATTCATCCGTTTAGAGCACATGATGCCCAGGCCACCTTGCTCCCTGGGCTTGCAGATGTTAGGCCAGCTGACCATATGGTACTTCTGCCTGTCATTATCGCCCGCCCAGTAAAAGCGGGACTGGATCTTAGCGATCTCCAGGTGAAGGGTCTCGTGGAGATTGTAGAAGCTCATGAGAAACAAGAGGAGGCTGGAGAGGGAGGAGTTGATGAGAATAGTACGGGCCGCCTTGGACAGCCACCTCCCCTGCCAGGGCTCGATGCGCGTTTGGAGCTTGGTCACGGAGGGGCGCAAGTCCGCGACGATGAGCCGGGAGTCACTAATGGGCGTCCCCAGGTAAGTAGTGAGGAAGGAGCCCAGGCGGCAATTAAGTCTATTAGCAATGGCCAAAGACTCTGAGGGGGAGTACCCCATCACCATAACATTACTCTTGTCGAAGTTGATCTTGAGGCCTGACATCTGTTGGAAGCATAGAAGGAGGAACTTGAGGTTGGAGATGTCCGTCTTCGAGCCTTCGACCATGATGATAGTGTCGTCAGCATACTGGAGGATAGAGATCCCGGAACCACCGGCAAGGTGGGGAGTAATCCCACGAATATGGCCAGCGGCTTTCGCCTTATCAAGAATGGAGGCAAGTGCGTCCACGACCATATTGAACAAGAACGGGGAGAAGGGGTCGCCTTGTCGAACCCCACAAAGCGTGGGGAAGAAAGGGCCCATCTCACCGTTGATGTTCACGGCCGTGCGACCGCAAGAGACCATTTTCATGACTCTAGTAATCCACCGGTCGTCAAAGCCCTTCCGAAGAAGGACCTCCCGGAGGAAGGACTAGCTAACCGTATCGTAGGCCTTGTGGAAGTCAATCTTCAGAAAAACCGCCTTGAGGTGTTTGACGCGGACCTCATGGAGGACTTCATGGAGAATAAGGACCCCATCCAGAATGTAACGGCCCTTAATGAAGGCCGACTGGTTGGGGTGAGTCACACGGTCTGCCAGCAGAGTCACCCTATTGGCGTACCCTTTGGCCAGGATTCGGAAGATCACATTAATAACCGTGATCGGGCGAAACTGGTGGATGTCAGACGC